ATATATATATATATATTATATATATCCGTATATATTATATATATATGTCAGTTGACGTAAAGAAATGAAATAAAGCTTTTATGTACTATTGTGCATAATTGTAAGATTGTTAATTGTAAAACGCTAGTAAGATCAGCTACGCATATTAAACTACGTGTTGTGTGATAGCTACATGTAACTGAGTCAATAAAAGTATCCAAGTATCCCAATTATTTCCTTAAAATATAGTTTTGATATTCATGTGATGACTTACCATTGAGAGAAGTCATAATGCTGTGTGGCAATAGCTGTACGGAGAAAAAACAAAGAAACATCAGAATTATCTACTGGCCTTCTACAAGACGTTTTTGTTGTGACGATTATGATAAAATCTCCACAAATTCTCTTCAGACATATTTGCTTTAAGATTTGCGTCATAGTAGACAAACTTGGGGTTATAAAAAAGACATCCCTGTCAAGATACTTTCATTTTCTTCTATTAGTCTCTATCATATCCAGAGATATGTAGCACTCTTTTCTACGGACAGCAAAATTAGTGTTTCTACAAATGGTTTATTGTTCAAATATTACCCGTGCAATCGCAGCCTTTTATAGCGCTGAATTGAAACAGGGTTTACAATCACATAATACACATGATACATATAACATATTTGCTTCACACACTCTTTTGTGGAACTGTTGCAAGGGTCTGTGCGGCTGCCATTTGGCGCCACAAGGTGACCTCAATACGACTTTCTCCAACCAAAGTTAGGTACCCATTCACACCTGGCAAAAAAGAAAGTCGTGTAAAGTGCCTTTCCCAAGGACACAAAGTCGGGGCGCATGTCGATGTACAACTCGAGATCGAACTCAGGTCTCGCCGTTTCATAGACAAACGCTCTACCACTACGCCACCCGACGCCACGTTTCTTTCCCGAATGTAACTCAGAAGGCCTTAAAAAAACAATTTTCGTCCCCATTTATACCTCCCAGCCAATGCCAAGAAGAGGTCTTTCAAATCAAACATTCACCGCCATCTCTTGACATGGCCATGTTTCTCTCATATTTCTAGTTCAATGCCGAGAAGTGGTCGTATACTACGGTATAGGCCTTGCATTGAACCACTACGTTAAAAAAATGTAAATACGTGGAGATGCCAAATAGTAAAACATACCTGACTCCCTTCCGTGGTGCCAGATCATACTGTGTACCGTCAGAAGACACACCTGGCCAGTGTCCGTGTCTTTCACATGTTGGAAACTCACCTGTAATAATTGTGCAGTAGTTGTTTACTGGTAAAATAAAACTTTATTACTAATTCTTTCCTTACGTCCCCCCTCCTTTACACAAGACAGCTGCGAGCGCTGATCTAGCCGAATTTGGGATTGCGTGGCCCTTTTATTATAGTAGGAATACATGTGTGGTGCACGATATAAAAGTATGGCAACAAAACACACAAAGCTTGCGCATTATCATTAGGACAGATAGTATGTTATTCCTCAGATAATCTATCAAAATTAACATTCTTACCAAAGGAAACATTCGTTATATATGTTTTCGCGAAAAAACAACCCAAACGTATCGCGTTACATAAAGCAATAGTACAGTCATGTACATTGTACCTATACTAACTAAAACTCAAGGTGCGGAATTGCTATATTATGCTAGTACAACTTGATGTCAGCTTATGCTATGATATATTGGTAGATTAGAATATGTTATGATATAAAACGGTATTATAATATGCTACTGCGTCTGGTACGATAGTATGTTATAGAAGGTAACAATACTGGAAAATAAGTCATAATTTATTAACTTATAGTTTAGTATAAGGTTATAGTTTTATTTCTAATGCAATGACAACCTATTCAGAAATATGCCATGACTCTACCAGTTCATGTTAAGGTATCTTTTAGTTTATTTTTATTACATTATGTAAATCTGATGGGTATCATTCCATTCTATTTCGAAACACCGATGCTACAGGAATCTAAAAGGCTGATTAGACGTACGGTTCACTGGACTTGGATCCGGACTTGTAAAAATGTTTAGGTTCAAGTCCAAAAAAACCTAAAAGTCAAGAACCGAGTCCGGACTTATTACCATGAAAGACCATTTCACATACCCCTTTTCTTTCCAATCCACCTAAAACCTTCCAAAACCTTTGCTGCAAAATGAAGAAAACATAATCAAGCCATAGGGCATCGTCAAGTACCGGCCTCCATGTTATGTGGCCAAAGTTTCACCCAGACAACATTGCAAGGTTGCCAACATGCAATTTTGTATATGCCATGGGTTTAGGTCCGGACTTACAAGTCCAGAACTGAACCTAAACCTCTGGACTTGAATCCGGACCTGAACCTAAATGTTGGTTTAGGTATGCACCACTAGACATACCTGAGCTCCAATGTTGAATGGTGTCTCGATCTTCGACAACTTGGACTCTGTGTCGATCTTGTACTTGTAGTCCACGCCATTCTTAAAGTTCAAGAACACAGCCGAAGAGTCTTGAGGAAGAGACAGCAGAAGCAAAACAACCAGCAACATCTCTCCAAGTCTTCCCATAACTAGCCTACTTCGTCTGGTGCCATCCTTTAGAAGAAAATATGACATATTTTCGTTTGTTTTATTGTCTGTTTGTTTAACATAACAGGTAAAAAAACAACCACCAACATCTCTCCAAGTCTTCACATAACTAGCCTACTTCGTCTGGTGCCATCCTTTGGAAGAAATTGACACATTTTCGTTTGTTTGTTTCACATAACAGATAAAACGTTAGACGTAACACACTAGCTTCGTACAGTAAATACAAGCTACAAAAGAACGAACTGTAAGGTCAACTCACACCAGGAGGGACCCCAAATCTTTTCCTCTTTTCTATCTATACGTGTGGTGGGATCTTTACCGTGCTTGAGATGTGGCTTCCCTCAAACACGGGACCTCTGGTTTACATTTAGTTTTGGTTATCGTTGTTGTGTTGTTGCACAAATAAAAGAGTTATCCCCTAAACATATGCAAAAAGACAAACACATATGCGTGTGTTCTTGTATCTTTCTTCTGTCGTGTGTACTATTTTATTGGAAAAGATGATCTTTGGTTCGAAATTTTTGTAAACTCGTTGTGCAACGTTCTAGGGTCAAACTAATTATGTTCCGCCATTATTACGACATGCATAGCGTGTAATACACTCGTCTTGGCGAGTTTCAAGCGTTAGAAATGTTCTATCTAGCTCCTTGTCTGCACCATACAACTCTTCTAGATCTACCTAACATTCTGTCCGATCTTTTTTGGTAGAAAAAAAAAGAGTTTTTGTACATACCTGACGAAGAAATGCCAGAAGAGAGTTCCTGTGAGAATTCTGCCCTCTGCTTAGAGAACCCTCAAAACAAGGGACGTAGCAGAAGGGTACCTAAGAAGCTGGCCGTCCCCCTTTTGTGTTACATAATACGGAGGCTCTTAGAGGGTCGGTCCTGTGAAAATTCTTCAATAATTATGCATTGATATATACACTCAAGTCAAAACTGGGTTGCAATAGCCTATTTAGTACATGAACCGACATTTCTTTGTATCATATTTTGAAAAATGGTAAATTATGACTAGTTTTACTGGTATGTATTCACTAGGCAGTAAAATGACTTGAAAGGGAAAAATAAAAGTAATCCATTGGTTTGTTTGTAAAAGTAGTATCTAATTATTAAGAGGAAAATAAGCTACTATCTTATGTTGAAATGATGGTGATTATCAAGAAGATTTAGTTGAAACCGTTCAGTTAAATGTTGTCATGAAGATACGTTTTAGCCCATTTAGACCCTCATAACACAATTAATCATATGTGTGACGTAATCAGCACAGTGACGACAAAGAGACGTATCGAATGTGGGTCATTGAGACTACCCAAATGTTTTTATTGGTGAGACAAAGAGTAGCATGAAATATAAACTCGGCAAAAGTCAGACTAAAGCCGTCTCAGATGACCATTTTATTCTCGGATGGTGCTAGCCTAGACGCAGGTCACACGGCGGCGCAAATTTCCGTCATTTCGTCAAGGGTTAGGGGTTTCGGGGGGTTTTGCGCTTTTAGAAGATCCATCTTACTGTATCATCTGTCTTTACATAATTTTTTATTCCAACACACCTCGTTAGTATTAGTATCTAAGTTTATCATGCTTCTAAGTTTGTATCCTTATTATTACTTTCTTATGTTTTTTATTTGTATTTGTATTTGTATCAACACTGTATTTGTTTAGTGGCAGCGCTAAGATAAGTTTTGTAAACTTGAGTACTTTGTACCTGTCTGTACCAGAGACAAAGGTGAAACATACTCTTTTTGCGCGTGTGTGACCAATGAGTATCGAAGAATGGTTAACGTCAGTGTCGCTTACGCTTTGGGGGATCGATACGCATGGATCAAAAGCGACCTCTATTGATTTTTATTAGTACTGCAGCAGGAAGTCCACCCCGCCCACAACGCGTGGCCTTGCTGCACTTTAGTGGGGGCCGGAAAGCCCTTTTCCGTAGAGCGTAATCGGCCGTTTTAATTCTACGTAATGCATTGTAGCCACTTGGAATTTATCGTAAAGCGTAATCGAGAGGTTTCCAAATTCAGCGTAGAGCGTTGTCGGGACCCCCCCTTGCAGGCCCACTTTAGTATTCGCCGGGACTAATATCTGGGAATCAGGTTTTTAAATTTAGCGGCGGTCAATGAGTTTGAGGTCCACAGATTTTTCCGGGACCAGAACTAGTCTGATTTTACCAACAAGTTCTTCTGGCCTCTCCTGTTCCAACTTGAAATTCTGGAAAATCTGGAATTAGAAAAAAAAAAAGAAACAATAGTGAGAGAAATACATGTGTACAGTCATGTAAGAAATAAAATCAATTGAAAAATTATCTATTTAGTGACTCCATATCGAAAAGCTATAAAATGCATGTATTACATACTCAGGACATAAGTCGGTGTTTAAAGTATTCAATTTTCACAACTTTTGTGAAAACTATAAGATTTTAAACAGAAAGCTTTTTTAAACATAATCCATTACTGTAAAGCTGGCATCGCCCCTGAGGTGTTGCCAAAAAATACCAACCCTTATGAGAGCCAGTTGCATCTCTGTCTCTGCAATTCGGCGACCTGCAATGGAAGTGTGATTGTAGCAACAAATTATGATTGCTCATAATCTATTATATTTTGATTATTCATACAGTCTCAACATTGAGGATATTTCTCATACTGTCTAAAAAAGGAATGTACTCATTTGCTTTAAATGTCAGCTTTTTCAATCATACGTCTTATTTTAGCCCCTGCTTTCCCTAATACCCAAGAAGATGAAATGAGGCCAGCTACATGTACATGTACATGTATGTGAATACAGGCAGCTTGGAAAATGTAATGATTTAACTCCCAACATCTGCTTGGACTGTTGGAGGTTGCCAATTCATGACCTCTCCTGTGATCGCCTCCCTGCCCAAAAGTACAACAGTAAGTCAGACACCCATTTGAAACACAAGAAGGCCCTACATGCAAAAAATGCCTTATTTGCATGTTCGTCAGAGTCATTTGCATATTAGGGAAAGCACAAAATCCCCCCCCCCCCAAAAAAAGATGATAATTTTGACCAACCGACACAGCCTCTTGGCCCAAAGCCGAAGGGGAGCCAGGTGAAGGCCTTTAAACTCTTGCTGTTCTCTCGGTACCATCTCTCAGGGCGAAACTCTTCAGGGTTGTCGAAGTGCTTAGGATCTCTCCCCATCACGTATGGGCAGATCTGGAAAGTACATGGTATCAAACAGGAAATTGAAGATAAAATATCTTTGTGAAATATCTAGCATTTTTGAGAATTTCGTAAAATTGTTCAATATTGTAAATTTCTCAATCGCTCTGTTATTATCCCACTGGCTCTCTTAACTTAAGGCAACATACAGTACACATGTACATGGCATTGCATATTGTAGGAATGAGATAACCTTATCTTGAACCTTTTACCTAACATCCTGTCAGTGTCCTTCAACTTCCCTACCGTGGCATTAAATTGAGTATCATATTAGAAAACAAATATGATGCTATTTTGGATGGAATCAATCATCTTACAAAAATCAATGTGGGGTACTACAATCATTAATTCTGGGCCCTGTGTTGCTCTTAGCTAATGTTAGCTTTAATTGTGATGTAAATACAAATATAAATATAAATAGCTGAAGCCTGCACAATTCAATTGTTACAGTTAACTCTACATGTATCACTGATAACTTGAACATACATGTACGCATTTCCTACAAGCTTTGACTCCCTTTGATACAAAGTCATTGTGCAAAGCAATTTATCACTGTCAATGATAGAAATGAACAAAATTTCCTTATCGTTTGTATCAAAGATAACTAGTCCTGAGATTTACAAAGCCAATAGTCAACACCATGTAAAATGGTCATCACTATTGACAATCTGAATGAATGTTCTGTAAAAAGATTCTGGCCTTGAATCAACAGTTACTCAAAAATGCTCATATTTTGCCCCTAACAGTTGAGGAAAGTCTTTTTCTTCCTAGTCCTTACTACAGTTTTTTTTCATCAATCAATGCAGTGGTTTCATTAGAAGTTCAAAATTCACTCATTAAATATCAACTCAGCCTTTTGTGTTGACTTAATGCCTCCTGTTGCTGCATTGGGGGTATAATACGATGGCTAGACCTGTTTTTATTTTATTTTTTTTTTTCGCCCTGTCGCTTCATATTTTCTCTGAAAAAATCCGAGAACAAACAAATTAAATTGGTGTAGCTTTACCACTATATTTGTTCCAGCTGGAATCTCGTACCCTTGGATGACAGTTTCATGATTCAGAATTCGACTGAATATATATCCCACTGGGTACAACCTAGGAAACAAACATGTGAAATTGTTAATGACACAACAAAAGCACAGTGACTTTCATCCTACAATTATGTACCTACAAACAACTCACCCAGGGAAACAAATGAACTTACATCACGGAAGCGGTGGATTGCTCATTCCTTGACAAAGACTGGAGTCGCAGTCGAAAATTTGGGTGAGTCCAATTTGTTGTGTATGGAAATTACAGTTTAAACTTGATTCATAATGACTTCTACCAACACAGATGAACTTTCGAGATAGGATGGGATATTTTGAAAGTGAAAAGAAAGGTGCACAAATACAGATTGATCTTTTATGCTAACAAAGGCAAGCAGCTTGATACTCAGCATGATATTATTATATTGAACATTGTAAACTATCTATGATAAAATGACATCCAACCTTAATTTCATTGGGCCAGAAAGGAAAAATTATGTGGTCACCATGAGTTTTTTAAAAACTTTTTTGCTAACATACACATGTATATAATAATCACCACAAAATCTTGACACCACAAATATGAATTTATATTTGCTACACAACAGATTTGTGTCAAACATAAACTTGGAACTCCACCAAAACCTATTTTCCTCTCCAACTGTACAACTAAGTCCCTGCAACAATGTGGTCCCAGCAAAAGAATTAACAGTCTGTATAAAATATGCAAATATATGTATGTATGCAAATATACTAACCGAAGCGCCTCCTTGATGACCCCCCTAAGGTAAGGCATCTTGTGGACTTGCTCCTGTGTAACGGGCGCCTGATGATCAGGAGCAAACCTTACCACCTCATCATGCAGTTTCTCCTGGATGTTAGGGTGTCTTGCCAAGGTGTCCAAGGTGAAAGACATGGTGTTGGATGTCTGAAATATTTCATACAGAGCACAAATTTTGTTTAAAATTTTTTCTAATATCACAATTAGCACATGTCTGTATCAACAGTGTAACCTAGCACAATACATTTTGTATTTACTGTACACAACATACTGTGTCCACTATTACTTACTGTATCAACAGTGCTGCTTACCATATATTACTGTATCAACAGCTCCACCTAGCACATCACACATAACTGCATCAACAAAGCTGCGCTGACTACACGTTACTCACTCTGTCAACAGCCCTGCTTAGCATGTTATGTGTAACAACAGCTCATGCCTAGCACATTACGTACTGTAAAACAGTGCTGCCTAGCTACTAACAACAGTCAGTGTGCTTCTTAGCACATATTACATTAACAGCCCTGCTTAGGATGTTACGTGTAGCAAAAGTTCTGCCTAGCACATAAATTACTAGTTAAAAACAGCCCTGCCTAGCATTTGTTACTTACTGTATCAACAGCGCCCACCTAGCTTGTATCAAGAGCACTGCATGCCTATCACACGTTATTCACTACATCAACAGCCCTACGTTAGCATGTTACGTGTAACAACAGGTCTGCCTAGCACATAAATTACTGTAAAAAAACAGCCCTGCCTAGCATTTGTTACTGTTAAAAAACAGCCCTGCCTAGCATTTGTTACTTACTGTATCAACAGCGCCCCTAGCACGTCAACAATGTTTGCCAGCACCTCCTCTGGGTTCAGTTTGACTGACAGCAGATAGGAGACAAGGTCGGGATTTCTTCTTCTTCTTCTTTTTCTTCCGCCTTTCTCTCCATTATCTCCTCAACCAGCTGCTTGGCTTAAATAAAAAGAATTTCAAAAGGTAATTGTGAGTTGTTTGTTTTGTTCATCGAAGTGTTAAGAAACAACTACACACACACATACATTGTATAATAATAATAATTTATTATGTGTATGCACAGATACACAGACACACACACACATGCACACACACACACACACACGCACTTGCGTACCTGTACACACACAAACACACCACATCTACACATGCACACACACACATGCAGACACACACACACACACACACGCATACATGTACACACACACACACACACATCTACACACATACATACAGGCACAAACAAAGACTACGGAGTGACACATGTACACTTACAGTGTATATGAAATTCAGATATCTAGGCATTCAATACAATTCCTTGTGAATGCTTTGGATCCGAAGCAATTTTTGTACAGACAAACACCCGCAAACACACACATACATGTGCAGATACACAGAGACACATAATACATGTACTTAAAGTTCACATACTGATTCCAAAGCAGGTTTGCCATCCTTCAAGATGGCCTCTCCAGGCCTTGGTGTTCAGGGCTTTGTGGACTTTTGGAGGGATGGCAATCATGGTGTTGGTCGTGTCCAGAATGTCGAT